TGGCAGGCTTCTTGCTAACTGTTCTTACAGCTTAAATTAATCCATTTCCATAAGTCTATACCTTGCCACATGGCTCGTGACTTGCCAGCATCTTCACGTGCTGCTTGTCATGGTGGCGGCTGGCAGTGACTTCCCCGCCTTCTTGTTTTCTCTGTTCTCCTCTCTGTTAGTCCCACCTATACTTCCTGCCTGGCCACTGGCCAGCCAGTGTTTTATTTATTGACCAATCAGAGCAGTTTGACATACAGACCATCCCACAGCAGATCTGTTTAATAAATGCATCTGATTTGTCTTCAGCAACTCTGTGCTAGATAGATAAGTAGAAGCTTTACAGGTGACATCGCCGTTCTTCAAACATTGGCTTGGCCGGCACCTTTTCTGTGGCAGCTTAACTAAATTCTAAAGTGCCAGATGCCAAGCTTGGAGGGGCTTTTGAGAGGAATCAACAGTCTGAAAATGGAAATGACCTAGGGAAGTTTCAAGAGGAAGTGGGATTCCCTTGGTGCCTATGCTTTGTATGTGAGGGGAGCTCGTGGGGAGAGAGGAAATTTTCAATGAGCTACTCAATGCTCACCAAATGTCACAGTGGGAAATGTGCCCGTTTAAAGTGGTGTTAGAGCATAGTGTAGTGTTACAGAAAGAACCTTGACTGAAGGGGTTGAAAATTAAATACTGTCTGGTTGGTAGTATGTAGAGTCAAGCCTCGTGACATCTCTTATCTTTAAACATAATTGCTGCAATATAACAGGATATTTTAAGGGCCAGACAATTATTTCAACATTGAAACGTCTCTAATTTGGGCTAGAAGCACTAATTCTGGTATTTTGGCATGAGACTAAAAACCAGGTTTCACAATCCCTAGAAGAACCATACCATCTCTGTTTAAGTAACCTGTTTTGTATTTTAAAATAGTTTTATCCTTAACTTATTTCTGTGTGGTGCACATGACTATAACAGTACTGATTTTGTGTGTGAATAGCTAAATATGCAGGAACATCTTAGGAGCGCTGGAAACTGGGCTTATAACTGATCACATCTGTGTTTATTAGATTTTTCAGCTATTCCTTCAGTAATTAAAAAGCTAAATAAAACACTCCCTTAAAAATAAACAAAGTTAGCCGGGCGGTGGTGGCGCACGCCTTTAGTCCCAGCACTCGGGAGGCAGAGCCAGGCGGATCTCTGTGAGTTCGAGGCCAGCCCGGGCTACCAAGTGAGTTCCAGGAAAGGCGCAAAGCTACACAGAGAAACCCTGTCTTGAAAAACCAAAAAAATAAAAAAATAAAAAAATAAAAAAAATAAACAAAGTAGCTATTTATAGTGTATACATTTTCTAAAAGATACTTTTGGAATACTGTACTTCTAATCAAGGCTCACTGCTGGAAAGCAATGAACCCGAAAGTTAAGCGTCTACCTTAAGTACTTTTATAGTACTGAGTAATCCATACAATCAGTCCACTGCAATGTACATACAAAGCTTTTTGACCTGGCAACGTAGTCAATCAGGGAGTGGCCAAGTAATAATATTGCCAGCTTCTTGAGACATACAGTTTGTCCCACTGTCAAAAGCAGTTGTAGAGGCTACATCCAAGGGTGAGTGTGGCTGGAGTTTTCTTTCCGGGTCCTGCCAAGCCCTGGCAGTGTGACAGCCCACTTATAAAATAAATACACAGCCGTTCATATTACTTACAAACTGTATAGCCATGGCGGGCTTCTTGCTAACTGTTCTTTTTCTTAAATTAACCCATTTTTATAAATCTATACCTTGCCACGTGGCTCGTGGTTTACCGGCATCTTTACATGTTGTTTGTCATGGCAGCGGCCGGCAGTGTCTCCTTCCTCCACCTCCCACTTCCCAGAATTCTCCTCTCTCCTTGTCCTGCCTATTCTTCCTGCCTGGCCACTGCCAATAATTGTTTTATTTATACAGAACGATATCCACAACAGTTGAGTGTGACTGAGTCCCAACAAAGCCCTACTCACAAAGCATACTGGATGTGGCCTACACACCTATAATCCCAGCGCTTTGGAAGCTGAGGCAGGAGGATCATGAGTTAGCGGCCAGCCTGCAGTATAATGAGACTTTGTCTAAAAAGGAAATGAGAGAGAACCTGATCTTGTTTTGATTTGCATTTCTTTAGCAGTGTGAGTGAACATATTCCTTCATTCAGAGGCTGGCTGTATACTCGATGTTTGTACATAGCAGTATACAGATGGCATGTCAATCCTCAGCAATCAAGAGTTGTCATTTGGATGGGAAAGCAGGCAATACAGACCCTAAAGAAGTATGCTAAAATATATAGAGGAACGAAACAGAGAGATGGGACAAAAGAAATAAGGAGTTTCATATTGAAGCATTTTCACAGGTGTGGAAATTAAGATTTTCAAAAATTATGTCTAGCTGTATTTTATTTCCATATCCAAAGTAGAACCATTTTGTAAAAAATACTGTGTTTTTCTCTTTCTTTGTTGAATTCTCTGCGTACAGATAGGCACTTTCTTTTTATTATGATGAAAATATTTACTGTCTGAAACACAAATTTGATTTTTTTTAAGCTTATGGCCTTTGGAGGACTAGGATACTCCTAATTCTGTAAATTATCTCTCTCCCTCTAGGTCTAGAGACAGGCTTTATTATTTAGATTAAGGTTAGAGAAAAAAATGGCCATGAAAACGTGTTTCAGGCCGTGGAATAGCTCACGGGATAAAAGGACCTGCTACCAGCCCGCAGTCAGAGGCAGATCCTTAGAACTCACGTGGTGGGAGGGGGCCTGGCCCTGGCACGTTCTCCTCTTAGCTCTACAGGCCAGCCGTGGTGCCTGCCCCACTCACCTACCAAACGAAAACAAAACAAAAACAAAAAAATTCTATTTTTTTTTTTCTGAGAAATTTGGTCCTGATGGAGGGACAGATAGTTTGGAAAATGGTCATGTGTTCTATTTCCCTCTCTCCTAGCCTTCCTCAGAAAAGTCTACAGCATCCTCTCTCTACAAGTTCTCCTAACTACAGTGACCTCCGCCCTGTTCCTGTATTTCGAGTCTGTGCGGACATTTGTCCATGAAAGGTAAGAGGAGGAGACAATTCTGAGCCGTTTCCAGATATTTCATCTGATGAATGTATTTTTTCCTGTTAACTTTAAAAATTAAAAAAGACAGGGGTTGGAGATTTAGCTCAGTGGTAGAGCGCTTGCCTAGCAAGAGCAAGGCCCTGGGTTCGATCCTCAGCTCTGGGGGGGAAAAATGAAAAAAGTCCATCATCTAACTCCTAGGAGCCTGATTCATTTTTGATGGACAATAGTTCACAGTACACTGTTTTCCCTCATTTTAGCTTATGGTTTTCTGGGGTTAAGCCATCGTTTCCTGGGTTAAGAGTTAGTACTGTGGGCTGCTGGGATGGCTCAGCCTGGAAAACCATGCCAAGCCTCATGAGCTGCAGGACCCACAGGTAAAAAGAGAAAATTGACGCGGTAAGTTGCCCTCAAACCTCCACACCTGTACACTGTGCACTCAAATACTCCTGCCTACAACACACAAACAAAATAAATAAAAATTGAAAAAAGAAAATTTCGTTTATTGTATTTAATTTTATTACCCGTCTTGTTCTCAAAGCCTAAGTCTATACTTGCAAAATAAAGTTACATGAAGAATGTGTGGCTGTGTTAATCTTGTTTTGTTGCTAGAATAATTTTACTGAGAGGTCTCTAGACCTAGCTAGAGGAGCTGTACCTGATCGATCACTTACTAAAGATTTTCCTCTTGGCTTAAGTCTTTAAGTGGCTAAAAATAATATGGTTTCTTTATTTGAAAGAAAAAAAATAAAGAACGACTATTTTCTTTTTCTTTTTTTATTTTAAAAAAAGTTTTGTTTTTTTTTTTAATTTTACATTCTAATCCCAGTTCCCTCTGCTTCCCCTTCTCCTGCCCCCCCTTCCCCCATCCCACCCCTACCTACTCGTCAGAGAGGGTAAGGCCTCCCTTGGGGAGTCAACAAAGAAGTCTGGCATACTAAGTTGAGGCAGGACCAACCCTCCCCTTCCAGCGTCAAGGCTGAACAAGGTATTTTCCCCCTCCCCTACCCCAGGGAATGTGTTCCAAAAAGCCATTTCATGCACCAGGGATAAGTTCTGGTCCCCCTGCCAGGGGCTCCCCAAACAAATCTAGCCACATAACTGTCACCCACATTCAGAGGGCCTAGTTCGGTCCCATGCATGTTCCCCAGCTGACAGGCCAGAGTCCATGAGTTCCCAGCTTGGGTCAGCTGTCTCTGTGGTTTTCCCCATCATGATCTTGACCTCACTGGCTCCTGTGATCCCTCCTCTCTCTCTTCAGCTGAAGCCTAGGAGCTCAGCCCAGTGCTTGGTTGTGGATCACTGCATCTGCTTCCATCAGTTACTGGATGTGGGTCCTATGATGACAATTAGGGTAGTCACCGATCTGATTATAGGGGAAGGAAAGTTCAGGCATCCTCTCCACTATTGCTAGGAGTCTTAGCTGTCACCCTTGTGGATTGCTGGGGATTTCCCTAGCACCAGGTTTCTCCCTAACCCCCTAATGTTCCCTCTACCAAGATATCTCTTTCTTGCTCTCCCTTCTCCATCCCTTCCTCTATTTTCCCTTCCTGGGGCCCTCCATGTGTGCCCCTCTTAGGGTCCTTCTTTTTACCTAGCTTCTCTGGGATTGTGGATTATAGCCTGGTTATCCTTTGCTTTGTGTCTAGTATCCATTTAAGAATGAGTACATACCGTGTTTGTCTTTCTGGGTCTGAGTTCCATCCATTTGCCTACAAATTTCATGACTATTTTCTAAGAAGTAGTTTGTCCCCCCCCCCCTCCTCTCACCAAAGGAGAGTCTTAAACTATTAATTGACTACTCTGGGATATAATTATTTAAATTATAGCCCTGTGGTAAATCCCCTAAAAGAGTAGTCACGTGTAAAATTCATTTCTAATTTAATATCTCTGGTTTGTTGTATTTTAGTTGACAAAATAATATTTTAATTACAAACATTAGTCCGTTGTGAAGGACATTAGTAAAGAAGAGATGGATAGACAGCCCCTCCCACTCTTACAGCCCCGCCCACTCTTACAGCCCCGCCCACTCTTACAGCCCCGCCCACTCTCTTACAGCCCCTCCACTCCTTACAGCTCCTCCCATTCTCTTACAGCCCCTCCCACTCTTACAGCCCCTCCCACTCTTACAGCCCCTCCCACTCTTACAGCCCCGCCCACTCTCTTACAGCCCCGCCTACTCTCTTACAGCCCCGCCCACTCTCTTAGAGCCCCTCCCCTCCTTACAGCTCCTCCCATTCTCTTACAGCTCCTCCCACTCTTTAAGCCCCTCCCACTCCTTACAGCCCCGCCCACTCTCTTACTCCATTCCCATCTTACACCCTTCAACTTTTAGAAATAAGTTATTCTGTTTGTATGGATCCAGATTTTTTTTCTTGAACTTTTATGGACATAGAAAATACATCAATTTTATTAAATTGTATACCATTATCCCTGCTTTTTTTAAGCTTGAAATGCTTTTTAATGTTGTGTCTTTCAGCCCTGCTTTAATTTTGGTGTTTGCTCTCGGATCTCTGGGCTTGATTTTTGCGTTAACGTTGCACAGACACACACATCCACTGAACCTCTACCTGCTATTTGCATTTGTGAGTACTTACTTTCATATTTTCTATGCCATTAGCATTTAGCCTGAGCCTCCAAAGTGCTTGTTTAATTGTGTGTGTGTGTGTGTGTGTGTGTGTGTGAGAGAGAGAGAGAGAGAGAGAGAGAGAGAGAGAGAGAGAGAAAATCAAGCTGTGTGCACAGGTGTTTGCCTGTGCATGGGCATGTTGGGGGTCAGAGGTTGGCATTGGGTATCTTCCTCTTCCATCCCCCACCTTTGTTTTGAGACGGGGTCTCAGCGAATTTGAATATGCCATTTCAGCTCACCTTGCTGAGTGGTAAGCTGCAGGAGTCCACCAGTCTCTGCCCTCTAGCACTCAGGTCACAAACATACCAGACTTCGTATCTGGGCACCGGGGATCAGAACTCAGGTCCTCACGCTGGCACAGCGAGTACCCACAGAGCCATCTTCCCAGCCCTGAATTTTCAATTAGAATATATTAGGAAATTATAGATATATGCTCTTCTAGAACTTTTAACTATTGTCTTCTGTTATTAGAATTTAGTGGCAAGTACTGGAGTCACATGACCTGGCTTCACAACCCATTGCTTATGTGACTTTGGCAAAGCAGTTAGCTTTTTGGTACCTAATTTTTCTCACACATAGAATGAACATTATAAGATATGTCATCCATGTGGCACTTTCTGCCTCTAATTTCCTGGAATGGGGGGGTGGTAGCCATATTGTGCCTTGAACTTAGAGAATGTGAGCTTGTATTCATTCTTCTGTGTTATTTTCATGTCTTCACTCAGATCTCTTAAAGGGCCATTTTGCTCAAATGATACACTTCTCTAACTTGTTTGAAATTTATAGATGGGAGAACCTAACATTAAGTTTGATTTACTTGTTGAGACAGTTGTAAAAGTTAAAATCCCAGTTGACATCTACAAAAACTTCATCTTAACTTGAATAAGATTGGCAAGGCTGTGTGCATTTTTACATTATTTTGTCTCTTCTCATGACTTTGGATTCTGACCTGACAGTTTCCTCCAAGACATTCCAAACACAGTGTATGTTGCTAAATAAGAGTAAAGAGGTCCTGATGTGAGTAAAATGCTTCAAATGAAGACAGCTTGTGAAATAAAACTTCTGGAAATGCGTTTATATTAAAATGATGCTCGTGACTTTAAAATTGGAGAGTTTATTCATTTAAATCTCAATCCCTGTGAGTGTATTAGCTCCAGCCCAAGCTGCCTCCAACAGGGAGTTTATTTTCATGGTGCAAGAGCTTAGAGCTCAGCAGCTCACATCTCCCAGTTAACAATGGGGTGGGGGGGAGGTGAGAAGCCTAGAAAAACTCTTGGGAGAGAGAAGGGGAAGGTTCTAGAGGTGATGCTGCAGATGACGGAGTAGGAGTGAGAACTCTTTCCACCTCTTCCCAGTTTAATTTGGTGGCCTGTCATTGGTCCCACGTAGTTCCTTTTCCTTTTGCTTCAGCTCCCACTGCCATGGCTTCATTCTCTTCGGATTCCCGTTAGAAGGTACCTGACCGGTGGGTATCACAGGGTAGATGCTGACTGACGTACCGTGTCCAGTCCTTGAGTCAGATTCTAATACTGCCTCATCTGTGCAACAGGAGACAGGGAGGAGGAGGCAAACAAACAAACAAACAAAGCCAGCAAGATGCCTCCGTCAGTACAGATGTTTACTGTCCAAATCTGATGGTCTGAGCTCAGCCCCTAGAACCCATGTAAAAGGAGGACTGAACCACCTCCACAGAGTTGTCCTCTGGCCTCCACTGGTTTGCTGTGGCAGGAACACCAGTCCCATGCACATATCACGTACACACATAATAAGAATTGACTTAGAAACAACCAACTCTGGAGTGATGCCGCAGTGGTTGAGAGCACCGGCTGCTCTTGTAGAGGATCAGCGTCCAGCTCCCAGCACCCACATGGTGACTACAACTTTTTAAACTCTAGTTCAGGTCTAGGGGATCCGGCATCCTCTTCTGGTCTCCAAGTGCACACGGGACACATGCAAACATAAATACATATAGGCAAGCAGTTACACAATAAGATAAAAATAAATATTTAAAAAAAAATGTTGATCTTCAAATCTGTTGCCACCTCCTTTCAGAAAGACTGATTTCCTTGTAGGACAGGGTAGACCCTCCTTTTGCCCAGCAGAGAGAGCCCTGACTAGAAAAACATGAGCTGAAGGTTTCATGAGCCAGATGGCACTGTTGTTATGTGACCTGTTCATCATGTGCTTAGCTAAAGTGGTCTAGCAAATAAGGAAGTCTGTAAAACACACTTCCTTCTCACTGCTCAGTGAACCTCTGGTGCTGGCGTTGCTGCTGCTGCTGTTGTTGATTTTTGTTTTTTCTTTTGTCCTTCTGCAGCAGAGTAAGAAAGGAAGGGAATTTTACCAGCTCTGTCAGGGTGTGTGTGTGTGTGTGCATACATGTGCGTACTTATTTTTTTCAAAAAGCACTATTTCAGGGTGGTGCAATGGTTTAAGTGTGACATTGTGTTCTCATCTACATGACTGTTTACAGTCTCCTGCTTCCTTCAGGTGCTTCAATGCGGGGTGAGGTTTCTTGTCATGCCACACACACATCAACAGTGGAGTCCGTTTCTATGATCCATTGTTGGTTCCCTGGGATTACCAATCACTGAGGCATGGTACTTGTTTCACTGCCTCCACATCCCTGTACAAGTTCCAGTACTGTGTTTCCTCTGGTTCTGAGGACTATGGTTCTAGGTAGGATGGAGTACAGCGAATGCTTCCTAACAATGTAATTACACAGCCATTGCTGTTATTTCTGGCTTTGCCTTTGAGTATCAAACAGTTGATAAACTCTAGTTAGAGATGATATATATAGTCAAGGAGAAAGAGAGGCTAGAATATAAATCTTTTGTTTTGGCAAGAGTTCAGCTACTTGTGACACGACTTAATACAAAATGATCTATAGGAGAATTATCCTGAGCTCAGCCACCCGTGTGGTTCAGGCACTCCTAAAGTATTGCATAGTGTAAGATGATGGCCATGCTGCCCTATCTGAATAACATCCAGTAGATAAAGGAGAACAAAGTGAGGTGGGGGCCAGGCCGTGTGCTCTTAGAGCTCAGTCCAGTGGCTGTGCACCACTCAGCTAATTTGGCTTAGAATACAGTCACGTGGTGGGCTGGAGAGATGGTTCAGAGGTTAAGAGCACTGCTTGTTCTTCCAAAGGTCCTGAGTTCAATTCCCAGCAACCACATGGTGGCTCACAACCATCTGTAGTGAGATCTGGTGCCGTCTTCTGGCCTGCAGAGGTGTGTGCAGACAGAACATTGTATACATAATAAATAATAAAAAAGAATATAGTCACGTGGTAAGACCTAGCTGCAAGGGAGGCTGCAAATGTACCATTTTGTCTGAACAGCCAGATGTTCAGGTACAAATTCTGTGGCTGGGGAAGAAAGAGATTTTTATTTAAAGGCTGTTTTAAGCTGCCTCAGCAAAGTACATAACAAGATATTTTATGTCTCTTATGTTTCTTTGTGTGAGGTGTTGAAGTTTTTCAAGACATACACATGATTTTGCAGTATGGTTTTATTGATATTATCCAGCACGAGAAAATACAATTTTCTATGTTAATTCTGTATGATCTTCCTATTACAGATTAAAAAAAAAAATCTGGTTAAAGCTTACAAAGCCACAGTGAGAATGAAAGGCTTCACAGTGCACTGAGGCCTCCTTTCCCTCCCAGTGGGATTGTATGGTCCTGCCCTCCTTATGTCACAAGGCTTCTCTGAGGCTAACATGAGGCCGTTCACATGGAACGGTGCTGGACTGCTAGAAGTGAGAGTGTGTGCGTGGGATACTGTCCATTTCTCATGCATTCATTAATTACAGTTTCCTTTCTTAGACACTGTTGGAAGCTCTGACTGTGGCAGTTGCTGGTAAGTTCCTTTATATGTTACCACTTTCCTGCAACCAAAATCTTTTAGATAGCGAGGTTATTTGGGGTTAAAGTTTAACATCATGGGATGTCATATTAAAAACATGGCACAGAGTGAAGATTGACGATAGCAAAAGACAAATATTTATACTTTACATAGTTCAGCCGAGCTGAGAGGAAATGGAAAAGTCGAAGGGAAACAGGAGGAATTGAGAATAGTTTTTCATTTGTGATTTCCCTGTTGACTAAACCAAGATGCTAGAGTTGATCTCCCCTACTCCCAGGGCTCTTCTGTCACAGCTCACTCCCTAAGAACTGTTCCCATCAAGCTGTGACTGCTTCACCCTCGGATTCCCCCGATGGCACCACAGGACACACAGTCATTTCCATTCCTGACTTCCTGTGTGTGGTCCCTGGCCAAGTGCTGTTATAATTACTTGATGGGCCCTAATAATATCTCAAATAAAAGATTCAGTGAATCACAATAGAAATTCTGAGTGTTTGCAGGTGGTTTACTGTGGGTCACAAGGATCAGCATTGACTGTCTCAGTCCCAGTAATTCGTTCATCTTTCTGAGATACAATTATCTCTTCCCATTTTGTCATTGCTACTTTTAACCATCCAGTGCCAGTTTTGTTGAATCTGTGTTTTTGTAATCTATCACTCCTTTTAGAAGATTCAGAATACAGATAAATACTAAGAAATAGCAAACTAAGTGGATTGGAAGCTTTTCATCATAGAAAGGAAGTGTCGTTAGTTTATCTGTAGTCTTAGCTACTAATATTTCTTCCTGTTGTCATGACCACGTGGCCCTCCCCAGTGCCACCATACCATTCATGTAAGGAGCGTGAAAATGGATATGATTAAATTGAATTAATATGATTAAAATACATAGATGAAGTAGTCTGAGAAGATTATTTTCCTTAAGTGCTTGGGGTTCAAAACCCTTAATCCCCTTGAAAGAAGCTTAAGTTGCCTTTCTGCTAAAACAGTAACAGTTATATACTACAGTCGCCGTCACCGCTCAGGAGCATTATTCTGTTGCTGAAGGGAGTTTGGTAAACTCCACAGCAGTGTGCTCCGAGACATACAGACTTAGCTATGGTGCAGGCAGGGATTGGTTTCTGTGCTCTGCAGAGTGGGTGAATGGCAGGCCATCTCAGATGTGTTTTTTCTTGCACAGTAGCCTTGGATTGGGCTGCTCAATTGATTCAGCTGTGCGGGTGCTTGCTAGCATTGCTACTACTAGGCAGGAATGCATAGCTAGCCAGAAGACCCAGGTCACCGTCATTCACAACCACAGGGACAGCTGTGGCCACTCCTGGTTATCTATAGAATATCTTTATAGTTTGGTTAATTATACGATCATGTGACCCACTTTATTTGTATAAATAGCTACTTTGGAACATTTTCATTTTATTATGAGTATAGTTTCCTGTATCAATGAACTAATTTAATTAGTGAATGAAACAGAAGAAAGTGTGAGGAGGTGGGGACAAGAGAGTAGTGGAGTGGATATGATTAAATCCATTGTGAACATCTATGAAAATGCTGCAATGAAACCCATTATTATGTTTATATAAAATCAATATATGCAATGAAAACATTTTAAAAAACTAAAGTGTAAGAACACTTTTGTCAGTCTAGGCAAGGCTGTTTAGTATTGGCTGTCTGTGCATGTTTTAATCAGCTTTATTTCTGCAGTTACTTTCTATAATGTGTACCTGGTTCTGCAAGCTTTCATACTGACTACTGCAGTCTTCCTTGGCTTGACTGCCTATACTCTACAGTCAAAGAGAGATTTCAGCAAGTTTGGAGCAGGGTAAGTAGTAAGTCTTGTCTTCTCTGCTTCCTCAAGTTTGATTTTCTCAACTGTCTGATACACGGTACCACAAAGTCTATCACAGTCTCGACAATGTTTAAAAGTCTAAAGTTCACAGTCTCTTCTGAGATTCATGCAATCTCTTAACTATAATTGCCTGTAAAATCAAAATAACAAATAGACCACATACTTCCAACATATAATGGCACAGGATATATATTACCATTCCAAAATGTAGGGAAGGGAGCAGAGTGAGGAAATGCTGGACCAAAGCAAGACTGAAAACCAGCTGGGCAAACTCCAACCTCTGCAGCTCCATGTCTGATGTCAAAACATGCTTCAGCTCTCTAACTCCATTCAGCTTTGTTGACTGCAGGACACTTCCTTCTGTTGGGCTGGTTCCACTCCCTGTTAGCAGCTCTCCTCAGCAGGTATCCCACAAGGCTGGTATCTTTAACATCGTGGGGTCTCCAAGGCAATCCAGGTTTCAACTTCAAAGCTTCACACAATGGCCTCTCTAGGCCTCCATTCAGGGACACCCGAGACACATGCCTGGCCTCAGAGGCTTTCCTTAGATGTGGATGCAAATTCCATAACCCTTTCTTCCATCCGTAACTCTAAAGTCAGAACCACGTGGCCAAAACTGCCAAGTTCTGCTGCTTGCTGGGGTTGGAACATGGCTCCCTTGTTCAATTACATCTTCACCAGCTTTCTGTTTTTGGTTGTTACTAGTACTGCCTAAGTGTGGCTGTCCTTGAACTTGCTCTATAGACCAGGCTGGCCTCAAACTCAGAGTTCATGAAATCACAGTCAGCACCACTGTCTTCCATGCTTCTACTAGGATGGCCCATGAGTAGAATTAAAGCGTTCAACTGCTTTTCTAATCTGTAGTCCCAACCAAGGTCCCATATTCCTTCAAACAAAAACATGGTCAGGCCTGTCACAGTAATACCCTAGTCCCTGGAACCAACTTCTGTCTTAGTTTCTATTGCTGTGAAGAGACACCATGACCACGGCAACTCTTATAAAGGAAAACATTTAATCGGGGTGGCTCACTTACAGTTCAGGGTTGTAGTCCATTTTCATTGTGGTGGGACATGTGGCATGCAGGCAGATGCCGGAGAAGTAACTGAGAGTTCTACATCTTGTAGGCAACAGGAAGTGGTCTGAGGCACTAGGCATGGCTTGGGCATATATGAGACCTCAAAGCCCACCCCTACAGTGACATACTTCCTTCAACAAGGTCATGCCCACTCCAACAAAGCCACACCTGCTAACAGTGCCACTCCCTATGAGTTTATGGGGATCAATTCTAACTACCACAATCCCTAATTTCAGTTCCAGAGGCCCTGATGCCCTCTTCTGACCTCTTCAAGTATCAAGCAGGCAGCTGGTACACATACATACATACAGGCAAAACACTCATACACATAAAATAAAAAAAAATAAAAAACTTTACAAAAAAAAGTATTTTTGTAGGGAACAGTATTGTAAACTTAAAATTTTGATTTTTTTTTTTCTAGGCTGTTTGCTGTTTTGTGGATTTTGTGCTTGGCAGGATTCTTGAAGGTGAGTAGTTTTAGAACAGTTAACTTGAATATAATTCTGCCTACATCAACATAAGTCAACTAAAATTCCTGGAGAGTCGTTTATAGAGGACACTTTCTACATTATAGGATTTATAGGATAATTTCAGTCAAAATCATGGTCTTCTATTAATCATTATTACGGATTGAGGAAAAGATGATTGTACAGTAGTGAAATTGCACCCAAAACGGCCCTAATTATAGCTGCCACCCTCTCAGCAGCACATTTAATTCTGAGAGGGGGGACCTGATGAGATTAAAGGGCAGATAGGCCTGATGGCCTGAATTCAATCCCGACACCCACAGCGTGGAAGGGGGACCGACCCTGGCAAGTTACCCTCTGACCTCCACATTCTTGTATGCTTGCTGTGGTGTGGTGAGCACAGTCTCAATAAATAAGTAAATGTCATAGAAATCTTAGTTCGTAAAAAGTAACATTTTAGCAGGGGGTGATGGCACACACCTTTAATCCCAGCACTCAGGAGGCAGAGGCAGGCAGATCTCTGTGAGTTCGAGGCCAGCCTGGTCTACAGAGCGAAATCCAGGACAGGCATCAAAACTACACATAAACAAGCAAACAAACAAATAAATAAATAAATAAATAACAGGACAGGTATCAAAACTACAAATAAATAAATGAATGAATGAATAAATAACAGTTTATGTTTAGAATGCTGCTATTCAAAGTCAGGTAGTTAACTTAATTGAAAGAAAGCTATCTGCTTATCCAAACATAGGTCTGTGAAACAAATGTGACCTGAGGTCTGTCTTCCGTCTTTCTGCCTGTAACATCCATACCTCAGTGTGTGTGCCATGGTCACAGAAGCAGGTAGCGGTAGATGCTATGAAAAGGAACTGAAGTAGGTCCACCGCGACCCTAAGTGTGAACATGCTTCTTTACTTCCTTGCTTGTAGGTTTTTTTCTATAGTGAAACCTTGGAGCTGCTCTTGTCTTCTCTGGGCGCCCTTCTTTTCTGTGGATTCATCATCTATGACACCCACTCGCTGATGCACAGACTGTCTCCTGAAGAGTATGTACTAGCTGCCATCAGTCTCTACTTGGACATCATCAATCTGTTCCTGCACCTGCTGAGGTTCCTGGAGGCAGTTAATAAAAAGTAGCTGAACAGTCTACAGAGACCGTTTTATTATGTAAAACGTTTGAACTACACCTGAGTATTAAAATCATTTGTGATCTTTCTTGGCATTCTGTATTCTTCTCCGCTTTAGAATCTTACTATTCTCTGTGTTATTTCATTTCCACATCCTTGACTTAGAATCTCAGACAAGAGATATTAAACTTGTTTTATATTGTTTTGTAAATTGAGGCAAGGTCTCACTGCATAGTCCGATATGGCTTTTAACTCATGGTCTTGCTATGCCGGCTTTCTGCATTCTGGGAATACAGGCATATACCACCACCCCTGGCTTATTTATTCATTTTTTAGACCTAAATTAGTTATAACTAGTTGTTCACCTGTAATTCAAAATAATAGAATGAGTAGATTTAGCCTTTTTGGAAATAGGTGTTTTGCATGCACATATGTATACTTTGTGCATGTCTGGTGTCAACAGAGGCCAGAGGGAGGTGTTGTATCACGTGGAGCTGGACTTTCAGGTGATCGTGACATGGAAAGTGCACTAGAGTTCTCTAAAAGAGTAGCACATGCTCTTCATAATCCTGGAGCCATTTCTCCAGCTCCGATACTCAGCTCTTAAAATGCCTAGTTTATAAATGGAAAATCACTGGTGTAAAATCTGCTCCACAAGTGAATGGTGTTTATACTTAATAGCAACAAATTTTATATGGTTAGTCCTTTTTATTTTTGTTTTGTTTTTTTTTTTTACTGTTGCAGTAGTATTCACATCACTGTATGTGTCCTTCTATGCCCAGCAATAACGGTTTGCCAGACAGAGAATATACCCACAAAAGAATTGATGAGTATAGGAACGTGAAAATTTAATTTTCTTTTATATTACATACAGGTGAACCTGTGTGCTCAATAACCAAGAAAATAGAATTAGTAGGACATAGAGAAACAGGCAACTCACGGTGCATAGGGCAGAAGTAGGAGGGAGCGGAGAAAACGGGAGCATCAGAAAGCTTTTGATTGCTGAATATCCCGTGGACAAAGAGGTGTGGTGGAGCCGAGGCGGCAGTGGCTCATGCCTTTAATCTCAGCACTCGGGAGGCAGAGGCAGTCAGATCTCTGAATTCGAGGCCAACCTGGTCTACAGATCAAGATCCAGGACAGCCAGAACTGTTACACAGAGAAACCCCGTCTCAGAATAACAAACAACAAAAAACAGAGATGCAGTGGACCGTGTTATCAGCCGCCAGTTCTCTGCAGAACTCAGACCTGGTTTTAATCTGTTTGATTGAGTTTCTGTGGCGTTGGCAGTCAGATCCAGGCCTTTAACCTTTATCCCTGTAATACACTTGTGGGAACTGGAAGTCACCCTCTCAAGTGCAGAACGCTTTCTGTTCCTGGGACTCAGGAATCCCACACAAAGACCTGGCTGTGGGAGCCCCACTCACTGCCAAGGGCCAGTTGTATCATGAGCCTTTTAGGTGAGACATCAGTTGTTTTCCTGCCGAGTATTCAGCAACACTAACTATGCATGTAGTTCCAAAAGGCTGCCCCAGCTCTTTCGATTTTCGTGTGTCTGTGTGCATGCTCGTATACAGGTGCCTGCGCATGCAGCTGTCCTTCCTCGGGTGTCAAAGAGGAAGCTGTGGAGCCCAAGGGATCCCAGTGCCTGTCTGCCTAGTGCTGGCCCTTTTTTTTTTTTTTTTTTAATGTGGGTTCTAAGGATCGACTGACCTCTCTCAAGCCCGATTCTTCTACCTTTCAGAAAGAACCCATTCTAGAGTTCACACTTGAATGTTTGAATAAAGGAGGGAATTAATAATATTAAAACAAGACAAAACAACAACAACAACAAAACTCCATGCCATTTAACCCCTAGAACTGCTTGCTTTCAATTATTTCGTTCCCAACTCAGTGTTTAAAAGAGCGTTGTAATGCAGTGCTGAACTGTGGAATGTATCAATACCACAATAGGTTGTTTTCTTTTGCCACGTTTCTGTTCAAAAGTCACAGCCTTTTGGTACATGAATCAAGAAGCCCTCAATTTAGAATATCTTTAAGGACGCTTTTTAAAATCCTGTGTGCACTTACTTCCTTCTGTTTTTAATGTCATATGTGTTTTGCCTGTGGTAAAAAAAAAAAAAAATTGCTATACTGGACATGGTTTCTATAAGAAGACACAACTCTACTAGCAACCAAAGAGGAATTTCATAGGCCATTATTCAAGGTAACTTTGGGGGGGCCAGTGACATGGTTCCATGGTTAAGAGCACCTGCTACTCTTCCAGAAGACCTAGGTTTGGTTCCCAGCACCCACACGGTGACTCACCGCCAACTGTCACTCCAGTTCTAGGGGATGAGATGTCCTGGCCTCCCCTGACACTTGGCACACATGTGGTGCACATACACACTGTGGTGGTTTGAAAGAAAATGGCCCCCAAGGGGAACGGCACTATTAGGAGGTGTGGCCTTGTTGTAGATGTGGTCTTATTGGAGGAAGTGTGTCACTGTGGGGGTGGACTCTGAGGTCTTTTTCTCAAGCTTCCCTCAGTGTGACAGTCAACTTCCTGTTGCCTGCAAGATGATAGCACTCTCAGCTCCAGCACCATGTCTGCCTGCATGCGGCCATGCTCCCTACCATGGTGGTGACAGACAGAACCTCTGAAACTATAAGTGATCCACCACAGTGATATGTTTTCTTTATAAGAGTTGCCACGGTCATGGTGTCTCTTCACAGCAAATAGGAAACCCTAACTAAGACACATATTTATATCAGACAAAACACTCATACCCCCCCCCTTAAAATATAATCCTTAAAGACAGTTCTGTGGTTTTGCTGTGTGCTGTAATCCGTATAAAACGCTGGTTACAGATAGTACGGGGTAGTTGACGTGTGTTGCCTAATCACCTACTGAAGATCCATGAATGAGGTACTGTCTAGGCCCTAGGACACTATCCACCCCTATCTTCCACAAATGTTAGGAGACCTGTGTATCCCCATAGCCCGTGCAATTAGAAGCATATGAAAAACCATACATTTGTCAGTCATCCTATTTTAGCTTTCTCTCAGGAATGTAATGGTTTGGACAGGTCAACACTGGACAAAGAGATAGATCGTTTTACCCTTTAAGTTCTTCGGGATAGGGGAGGATTATTTTCTGCGTCGGGTGACACCTTTGAAATAACATGGGCACGCAGTAAATCTGACATATTTAAGTCGTACACGGTGGTATACTCCCACATAGGCGCACATCCTGCGATCCTCGGCGGAATGGGAACTTTTCTAGGGCTGCAACTATTTTTAAAACCTCATCAAGGGCCAGTCTAGGATGGTGGACGCTGAGCAGTTCCCTTGGGTATCCCGTATCCGCCGGGCTTGGCCCGTCCGCGGCTTTGGGAATGGCTTGATGTATAACTCCTCTCTCCCGACAGGAAACCCCTTCCGCGTCCTGCAAACCCAGCCTCTCCCCTCTTGCAGGACCGACCATCATCACCGATCGCTTCCCGGGCGACGCCGTGCTGCCCAAGACCACGCCTCCCAGGATTCCCGGCAGGCCGCGCGCGCGTGCGCCGGCCCTGGCCGGAAGGCGGAAGTGCCTGGGGCTTCCGGTCGGCGTCCTCCGCGCGGCGTGCCGGTTCGTCGTGTTTCTCCGGTGAGTCTCGTGGGCCTCGGGCGCAGTTCCGCGGCCGGCGGCGGAGGACTGGCCTCGGACCCTGCCTCCGCTGCGGCCCCTGGCCTCGGCCCGGCGGTGCGGGGCTCGGGAGGGCGAGCCTCGGGATGGTCACGGCGGCGCCAGCTCTCTCCCCCCCCACACCCCGCCACCCCGCCACCCCGCCACCCCGGGGTTGTGGCTGCCCGGCTTGGGATCGCCCGGTGGGTTGTCCGCCACCCTCCCCACGTGCGGGGCTCCTTAGGCAGCCGGCGATTGCTGGCGATCGGAGGCTGCTTCACCGAGCCATCCCCCGGCGCCCGCAGCCCGCGCTGTCTGCAGCGCCGCGGTCCCCCGGGGGTGGGGGGGGATCCAGCGGCGAGTAAGGGCCGCTCGACCCTGCAGTCCGCCCAAGGTGACGCTGCTGGCCTCGGGTGGAAACTGCATTGAGGGAGGGAGGGGTGGCCCAAGAGTCTGAGGTGCTGAGAAGAGCGAGCCTGGAGGAGAGCGGTTTCCAGACGCGCAGCACCGTGAATGCCGGGGTACGAACGTGGGCGTGGTGTGGGGCTGGATGAAGGCTTCTCTGGAGAGGGAGGGTGAGGTCAGAGTGGAAGGAGGCTCGGGAGTAGCGGGGTGAACTCTGATGCCTGAATACTCCATGTCATTAAAGGATTTTTAAAAAGCCGGGCGGTGGTGGTGGCGGCGACGGCGGCGGCCCATATCCTTAATCCCAGCACTCGGGAGGCCGAGGCAGGCGGATCTCTGTGAGTTCGAGGACCTAGCAAGAGAAACCCTGTCTCGAAAAACAACAAAGAAGAATCCTTTAAAAGGCAGAAAGCTATGCTCAAACTTTAAAAAGTTCGCACAAAATACGTTGTGAAGGATTTAATAAGACCGGGAGCTGGAGCAAGGCAGAAGAGCAGTAGGTAGTTTTAAGGCCGTTTATTAACTTTTGTATCTACTAAGCAGCTTTGAGAATGGATTGATTTATAATTTGTCACTGGCCTGTCGGGGCTTGGCAGTCATGTATTTATTTAATCGCCGTATGCTCTGTGTTGATCCTCACTTATAGAAGACATCGTAGGTTATCCTCCATTTGTCCCGATACCGAAGAGATCGCTGCCCTGCCCGGCCGTTCCCACGATATTCAAGGGTGTGAATAGTAAGCTTTCTTGTTTGTTTTCATTGGCCGCCAGGTAGAGCATGGCTAAAAGCTTACGGAGTAAGTGGAAACGGAAGATGCGGGCAGAGAAGAGAAAGAAGAACGCCCCACGGGAGCTCAGCAGACTTAAAAGTATTCTCAGAGTTGACGGTGATGCTCTGATGAAAGATGTCGAAGACATAGCAACTGTGGTGGTCCCCAAACAGTGCCAGGAGAAAATGCAGTGTGAGGTGGACAACGACGAAAAGGGTGAGCGCACGTGCTTTATTTACATAATGAGAAGATGAATCCGCTTTCTCTTATGACCTTTTTTGTTTTTTTTTTAATAGCTGTCTTCTTTCCATCTCTACTTGTCCCTAATATCTGTCAGATCCAAAAGAAACTGGGGACAAATGGCTGACTGTGGTGCCTATTAGGTAACAAAGTGTTTGCTGGCATCCTGGCTCCTCTCAGCTCTCCTCATCCCTCCCTCTCTCTTAAACTTCACCTCCAGGGTTTCCCTATCCCCAGCTTCTCATTCCTGTATAACCCTGCCATTTCAGCCTTCCCCACCCCCCCCCTCTCTCTCTTTCTCCACCTGTTCCCCCTCTCTTCTATTCCTCTCTCACTCTACACCCCCCACCCCCACCCCTCTCCTTGCATGGCCTGGTTCAGTCTACTGGCCATGTTTAATCTCCTACTGTCTTTCTCTGCTCTGGATTTTTCCAGATGCCTCTGGCTGTACTCCGCCTCATATCTACAATAAAAAATTTCTTTTCAACTATACCTTGGAGTGGTCATGCCCTCACTTTATACATCTAACATACCTGTTAAGTTCACTTCACATCTTTGTTCTTTGAAAGCTTATATTTCTATTGGAGATCCTGTGCTAAACTGTTTTAAAGTCAGTGTTTGGGAATAAGCATCTGGGTTATTTAATGGATCCTCAGCAATGACGTAGCAGCTTGAATGCCCCAGGAACTGATAGTACTGCAGGAACAAGCTTAGCGAATGGAAGGTCAGTCGGGATCTGTTCAGGTGAGGAAGAAGCTCTTACTTGATTCCCCGAAAGACCCCATTCTCATTCTGAGAATCCTACGAACTTGTATTAGTACCCTGGAAAATCACAGAATCCTACTTTTTGTCGACATATTTTAGAGACCTCTGTGTATTAGTCATGGTTTAAATTTGGAGGCTACATATCATGCCGGTTTCAGCAAAGAAAAGGCCAAAGGAAGCACTCACAATGGCCACTCTTAAAGACAGAACTGTGTGTATGTCTCAAGGCCAAGGAGAACAGTGTTCTTAATGCTTCTTACCCTAGATATCAGCACCCACTCTCCCAGGAAAGCCTCTTTGCTCTCTGTCTCTGTCAGTCCCTTTGTTTCGGCTGCCCTTGGGAGATGGAAGCGCGTGGTCTGGCGATCAGTGTCCTTTGGTCACAGGCATCTCTGCCCATCAGCTCCTTTCACTGTTGTAACTTGACAGGACGGTGACCGATTCTGTGTGTGGTAGTGGCATGTGAGTACATTCGTGATGTTTGACTACCACACCTCTGGTTCCAAAACATTCTCATCCCTCTAAAAGGAGGCACTGCACCCAGTTAGTGGTTTCTTTCTCTTCTTCCAGCCCTAAGACTGACAAGGATCTTCTGTCTGTATAGATTTCCTCTTTGAGCTGTGGCATGTAAATAGAGTCATAAAATGTGTGATCTTTTCTAACGTAATATCACATTTTTTAAATTTCATGTTTTAGCATATATTAGTACTTCCTTTTAAAGACTGAATACTAGTTTGTTGTATATACCACATTTTATGTCTCTGTTGTTAGTTGGCATCTGGGTCATTTTTATGCTTCTATGATCTAGTAAACCTTAGTGTCCAAGTTTTTTTAAATACCTGTTTTCAGTGCTTTGGAGTATGAAGTTACAAACAGAATGCTGGGTCATGGTAATTCTTATTTTCTACACCAGCCAAACCATTTTATATTCCTCCTAGCCATGTATGGACTTATTTTCCAGGATCTTATTATTGTCACCATATGTATGAAATATTTCATCACAATTTAAGTCTTGTGTGTTTTTACATTTTGTCTGTATGGGGTCTAAGCAGTCTTTATGAATTTGGGCATCAGGTGCCCATACACTCCTGAGTCTTGAGTGATCCTTTACTCTTCTCTTTTGTGTGTTCTCTCTACTTCCTCATTTTCCTCGTGGAGGATCTTAGTATGCTATTATATTTTTCTGCTTCCAAAATGCTTTATTTTTAACTTTGACTATTTCTTTTCTTATAGCTTCCTGTTCTTATTGGGGCTTTATTTTTATCTCATTGGGGGTATTGTTTGCTTCTGAAATTTGAAGAGCAGTTTGTGCATTGTTTATTTTTTTTAAGTTCTCACCCCCTTGCTGTCATCCATGTTTCCTTCCATGCCCCTCTAACAGTTTTCGCAAATGCTTGGTGAGTTGTTGATATTTAAGTGAGGCACTGAAATGGTTAGAAGCCCAGGTGGTGAAGGAACCATTGAGATTGTAGAGAAGAATTCTCTCATTTTCTGCCTGAAAAATGTGTTGATGCACTCATTTTTATAATATTTCAGAAGTGGGAATAGCAGTGGAGGTGAGGGGAGTCTTCCTATTTAATTATATACCTGTCAGTAAAGCTTGACTCATCTACGCTCAAGTCCATGCTTCTCTTCATGTCCCTCTTGCAGCTGCCTACCCAGTTTCTTAGACCAAGAAATGCAGTCATCCTCTCTCATTCTTTTATCCCATGTCTAAACCAAGGCATCACTTTGTAATCAGATGTTTCCTATCCCGACTGCTCAGTCCCAAATAAACACACAGAGGCTGATATGAATTATAAATGATCAGCTGATAGCTCAGGCGTATTACAGACTAGCTCTTGCATTTTAAGTTAGCCCATATTCCTTATTTACACGCTGCACATGGCAGTACCTTTATTAGCATGGCACTTTCATTTCATGTTCCATCTGTGTCTAGCTGGCAACTCCTGACTCCGCCCTTCTCCTTCCCATCATCCTTAGTTTGATCACCTGCCTATACTTCCTGCCTTCCTACTGGCCAATCAGTGCTTATTAAACCAATTCAAGTGACAAATCTTTACAGTGGTCCAAAGGATTATCCACAGCATTACTCGTTATGCCCACACTGCGTGGTCAGCAGTTCCTGCCCATTCCTTGGTACTAGCTTTTGACTTCCCCCTCTGCTCTTCCTCCTGTCTTCTCTGTCAACATCTTGATCTTTAAAATGCAAGTCAGGTTCTCTCGCTTGCTTGCTTAAAATGTAACTTTCAGGGCTGAAGAGATAGCTCAGTGCTTGGAGCTCTTGCGGAGTTCAGTCCCCAGCTCCTGTGTCAGAGGTTCACAACTGACTGTGACTTCAGCTCCAGGGGCCCTGACCGCCCACACTGCTTTCCTCCATGGGCCACTGTACAGACATGCACGCATAAGTGGACTCAGGAATGTGCAGCATCGGGGGTGATTGTGTTTACTTTGCTGGGAGGAGTCAAGGGATGCTATAAAAGAATGTTTTCCCTTTTTTGACATCAGACTACCTGTAGTTCTGATGTTCCTGCTTCATTCATGTGCTTTCACGGGGTTGATTTTCATGTATGAATGTTAACAGCTTTTCATTTTATTATTGTTTTTCATTTAGATGACACAAAAATGGAGACTGAGCTGAAGAGAAACAAGAAGACCCTTCTAGACCAGCATGGACAGTACCCAGTGTGGATGAACCAGAGGCAGAGGAAAAGACTGAGGGCGAAGAGAGAGAAAAAACGGGGGAAAAGCAGAGCCAAGGCAGCGAAGGGCCTGGCCTGGTAGACCCTCGAGAACTGGAAAGTGGTGGTGCACGTGCCTTTAATCCCAGCCCGCGGGAGGCAAACAGGCAGAGCTCCGTGAGTTCGAGCACAGCCTGGTCTGCAAAGCAGGTGCCAGGACAGCCTGGACTGTTACACAGAGAAACCTTGTCTCGAAAAATCACACACCAAAAAAAAAAAAAAGAAAGTGCCGGGCGGTGGTGGCGCACGCCTTTAATCCCAGCACTCGGGAGGCAGAGCTAGGCGGATCGCTGTGAGTTCGAGGCCAGCCTGGGCTACCAAGTGAGCTCCAGGAAAGGCGCAAA